AGGCTCCGGAGCCTGGGGAGAGTGAAAACACATACATCCCCCACTGTGGTGCAGGAGGCTGACTAGGCCATTCTCACCCAGCAACTGGGCAGAGACCCCCTTGCTGAAATTTTTGAAGCTATAAACCATGGCTGATTCACAGGCTCTTTCTGAAATGATTTCTAGTTGTTTTATAATTATATTTCTGACAGGATTATACAAAGGGAAAGATAAGCTGACAAATATTCACCTTTCATTTAACCATAACATGATTTGGTTGGGTCTTGCTTACCCTACTGTCCGTTGGCATCCATTGTGGGCTGTAAGGCATGATTTATGACCAAGAATTATGTGTATAAAATATTCAGCATATATCAGCATAGTCAATAAACCAATTATATACAAGCTTTGGTCTGGTATGAGCTGGTAAATTCAGTATTATGTCCCTAAAGCCATATAATTAGTCCATAGCAGGTATGGGACTTAAATTGACCTTTTGATCATTGTTTCTGCTCTTCCTGTTAAGGAATGGAAACTAGAGAAAGAGGGAAAATATTGAGAGCTGCAGTCACATGTAAGCTTTTTTTGGGAGTCAGCGGTGCAACTAGATAATTTTAGATTCTGGACTTAATGATGTGTTTTCTCTCTCTCTCTCTCTCACACACACACACACACACACACACGCACACACATCTTCATTTTATGTGGTAGTTTCGCTTATTTTTATTTTAATTATAATTTTTATGCATACTTTTCAGTGTTAAAAAAATCCAAAGGTAAAAAAGTACAAGCTGTGTCGAGGTTTTTGTGGGCTTTTGCCCAATAGAATGTTACTGGATTCTCTGTAATCACATCCTTTCAGTTCTCCTTGTTTCTATTTTGCTCTTTAAGCCTTGTTTAGGAACCTCCTGCTTGTTCCCTCTGCTGAGCAGTGTCCCTGGAGTTCTACCCACTCCTCCTCCCCAAACATCATCACTTTCAGATTAAAGCAAAAGTCAGATTGTAGTTCTGAGTCAGGCTGAATTGCTTTTTGTTTAAGAAAGCCCTGACCTCCAGTGCAACTATCTTTCATAGCACTGATCTTGGGAAATTGATAAATCTTTAACGTAATAAGAGAAGTCCAGATCAGTTCCTGTGGGCCAAAGGACAGGTCCGCTTTCAGATAACATGGCTTACCTGTGAACTGAGAGGAAGGAAAGATGCAACCTTGGCACACCTGCCTTTGCTAAGAGGGGAGTGAGGTGAGATGAGAAAACTTTGTTGGCAGGGGCTTGATCTGACAGTGTTGATCGCCAAATCAACCAAGCTGAAGATGCCCTGCTATGCTCTCCCACTTGTAAAGGCTGCTAATATGGGAAGCTGTCAATTCAATTTGCTGTCAAGGGTTATGTCATTTCAAGAGTGAGCCCTGCAAGCACAAAAGAAACCTTTGAAGCGCGCAGAAATTGATCATGAAATAGAAATTGTAACATGGCAGCTCCGGCCCTGTTGCCTACTGTACAAGCCTTGCTAGTGTAGAGAATGGGGTTGTACTACATCTCCTTTCTAAGAGGTTAAAACCTCTTTTGGGGAGGGAAGGGAAGGAGGGGGAAATCTGAATCACCATTTCATCTCTTCCTGTGGGTGGTATGGATCACATTTGATCAAATCAGGGAAACAGATGAAAGAGAAGCTTCAAGGTGGGAGCCACTGCCGCATTTCCTTCATTGTACGGAGTGAGGAGTGAAATGAGTAAAATACACATTATAATGCAGCATGAAATTCTACTACCGAAGAAAGACAAGCGATATACTTGGCTTTGAAAAGGGTGTCCATAAGGAAGTTATGACCACATCATGTGTGGTTATGGCCCTTATTTTGACTTTTTTGACCTGTCCCTCTGCTCCGGTGAACATCCCTGTGTTCCTACCAGAGGCCAAAACAAAAATGAGACCCAAAAATCCCAAGCATTTTTTTCCAATTTATTCAGAATGCAGAATATTAAATCCAATGGACATGATTGCTCTATTTACTTTCCAATGGGCCACTCAAAACTGACTAAGATGGGCAGCCATATATATTTGCTAAATAGCCAAATGAATGAGTGTAATAATTTCCAATACATGAAGTATTATAACTACTTTTTTTTTTTTAGTACGGCTGTGGAGACTGAATCCAAGATTTCAAGACAATCTTGTTTGTATCCTTCACTTCTAGTACTTCAGAGGCAAAGAAATTGGCCTTTCCCAATCTGGTGCTATCAAGCTGACAGTTTTTCTTTACAGTATATTTAAGTGAAAACTAGTTACTTGCAACTTTCATCTCTTATTTTCAGTCCTGGTTTCTATGACCATGGAAAATTGTTCATGATCACCTTCCCTTTATGCATCTGGCTGCAGTTATAATGGCTTCCCTCAGTTTTTTCTTCAGACTAAACATTTCAAGTTCATCAGCCTATACTCAGAATGCGTGTCCACTCCTCTTTCATCTTTGTTGCACTCTTTGTTGTTTCCAGGAATGGGGCACTCAGAATCACGCTGAGGTGTTGCCTCACCAAGGCTGAGTAGAGATAAATGAGAACTTCATGTATCTTGGCACTGTGCTTCTTCTGATGATCTCCAGAGCTTTGTTCCCATATCTAGCACCTCCCTTCTTTTCTGCTTCCGATGTTGCATCGGATAAAAGCTTTTGGCAAAGCTCTGTGGCATGGATAATAGTGTATACAGTACATTGGTTTAAGGAAATAGTTTCATTGTATCTGCAAGTGAATTTGGGAAGGGAGTTTGCTAAATTGCTGAAATGCATTGCCAAAATCAGATCCATCGCTCTAGGAAATAAACAAAAACTTGCAATTTGGACTCATCTTGGCTAGCCTCGATTATTTAAAATGAAGTTTCTTCTTTAGCAAATTTGAAACCCATATAGAGGCTGAAGAGGGCTGGGATGATTAAAAGGATGAAAATGAGAAATCTCAACTAAGAAAAACAAACCATTTGAATACATCTCTGTTCAAATCCCTGAGCTACACTACACTGTAATATTTAAGCAAATAACCAATTTACTAGTGGGCCTCCAAGTTGCACTCAGACTTTAAAAACAAATGAACAACCCTCTCTTCCACCCCTAAAAACCGAAGAGTAGCTTGCAAATACTTATTTGGTGGCCTGGTGAGGCAGTGGCCAGAACACAGTCCTGCAGGCTACTTCTGCTGACTGCTGGCTGATTGCAGTTCAGCAGTTTGATTCTCACTGGCTCAAGGTTGACTCAGCCTTCCAGCCTTCCGAGGTGGGTAAAATCAGGATCCAGATTGTTGGGGGCAATATGCTGACTATGTAAACCGCTTAGAGATGGCTGTAAAGCCCTCTGAATATACACTATATTGCCAAAAGTATTCGCTCACCCATCCAAATAATCAGAATCAGTTGTGAGCAAATACTTTTGGCAATATAGTGTAAGTCTAAGTGCTATTGCTATTTCCCAGAAGCAGCAGCAACAACAACAATAATAATTCTTTATTGTCACTGCACAACATGTATACAATGAAATTGGTTGAATAAATCCAACCAATTGACTTCTAGTTTTGATGGAACTGCAACTATATATATATTTTCCTTTTCACTGTTTCTTCATTCAATATGTCTACGCTCTTCAGTGCTAATTTGATTATACAGATCAGGAGCATTTGTGAAGAGTGGGAATAACAACATCAAAATGGGTGCTACTAGCAATCAGTCCTGTTCCTTTTTAATAAGTGGTTTGACTGTTGCATGGATATAAAAAGAAGCAGGACTTTCATCATCCTAAGGTGTCCACCATTTAGATACGTCCTCATCCCATCTCCCACAGGCACATGTGGAGTATGCTGAAATCAGAAGTATTAAGAATTAATACTGAGAGAGAGAGAGAGAGAGNATGGCTAGAGACCAGAAATGGCAGCTCATAATAAATTTAACGTAGAGTCTGGTTTTGAACACCCCATTAAACCATGATTCAGGCAACTTGACCTAAACATTAAACCACAATTTAATCCATTGTCCAGGTTTGATCACATTAGGTAAAACTACAAAATAATTTAGCATGACATGTGAATGAAGTCATTGTGGTAAGATATAAGGCAGAGTTTATAAATCACAATAATTGGGTTCACCCAGGACACTAAATCAAAATCAAACAAGCGGCATTGTGATTTAGTGCAATATGTATGGATAAAGTCAGCATAAACTGGAAGGAGTGGGGCGGGGGATGGTTGACTTAACACAGACTACTTTAAAGACCTGCCTGTTCTCCCAGGCCCTAAAAAAACTATGGAATCAGGCAGCCTTGAAAAATTGAAATAATAAATAAATAAAAGAATGTCACATCAGAAATGACTTAATTTGCTTAAATGATCATAGTTACAATTATATAGTTAGGAGAAAGTAGTAAAGCAGGATACTGACTTTAAAGGACTATCAGTGCTGAAAGACCTCCTTCATTTAAAGAGCAGAAAGCTAAACACTTTGATCTGGTGAGCCTCCCATGTATTTTTAATTGCAACAATAGAGGAATGCCTTGTCATTAACTTATTTGGCAATGTTTTTCAACCTCTCAGTCTATCCTATGGCTTTAGCTTTCTTTGCAACCGCCCATCCAAGTACTAACTAGTTCTGACCCTGCTTTGCTTTTTCCATGAACAGATTTAAATATAAAAACCACCGTAAAAGAAAACAAAAAGATTTGAAGTTACAGTAGAGTCATTAGCTCCCAGACAGCAGATTGAGCAGGCTATGGTATGTGCCCCCTCTAGAGTTGTGTTCATCTCCTACCCCATTCTGTTTTGAGAAAGAGTCAAGACCTTCATCTTTAGCCAAATGCTTTCAGTTAAATTAGTTAATGGTTGATCCTTATTCTTACTTTATTTTTTTTTACTTGTTATTGTTAGTCACCTTAAGTGCCCTCGGTTGAGAATGCTTTCATTTGTTCCTCCCTTGCCTGAGCAACAATAGAAAAGCTTCATGCTACTTATTATAAGGGCTTATGCTTCTCTGAGGATAGCTTGTCAGTCAACTCTACCTCCAAGGAGGCTCTGCATTGAAAATGGTCTTTGGAAGGAGCATAAGAAACAGCAGGAACTCATAGTGAAAAGATGGCATAATCCCTGGGACTGATGGCTAATATCTCCAATGACCATTCTTGGTCCTTCTGCTTCTCTTTCTCCTTCTCTATCCTATCTGGTAACAACAGGACTCACAGACAATCAAGGTTGAGAAGCATCAGACTGAAAAGGGATAAATTAATGCATGGCTCAAATGAGGAACATGGTGGGTTCTGCTCATCTTAGCAACATCACTTGCTTGGTAACCTTAAGGTCCCTGGAATCCATTTATGGATTTGGGTTGAACTCGTCCAGATGCCCTGAAATTCAAACAATGGTGTTGGTTTGAATTTAGAGCATCGATACTCTTTCTGGCTTAGCAGAAAGTGCTTAACACCTCTTCACCAACTACAAAGTGAGACAGGTTTGACTAATCCTTTGGGTAAATATTGCACATGCTGACCAGCAACAGGCTGACTTGGCACAAGAAGAATTACTGAGACCAATTTTCTCCAGTCTGGTATCCTTCAAATTGATTGAATTGCTACCTCCACTATCCTTACTTAGTTTGCCAAAGGTCATGATCAAAGCTCTGCCATCTGCCCAATTTGCTCCAAGGATGCTCATTGACCCTACAGGCTGCCTGCCCCCATCTGTGCCTTCTCCAATCCCCTCCTGCTTCCTACCTACTCAAGCAAATAAACCAGGCAGCCAGCAGGCTGTTGGTTTCTACTTACTACCATCTGCTTTGCAAAGACTATGTCACCACCTTTCCACCTCCTCCAGTCCCTGGCAGTGATCAACATGACATGTGGCACTGGCAACAGCTTCTTATAGTTTGCACATGGAAAAAGGGGGGCTTTCCAGAGGGGTCAAAGCCAGCATGTAATGAAAAATATAAATTAAATTGGTGGGGAGATCATAAGAGCAAACCAGCTCTCATCTTTTCCATCTGGGAGCAGTTGCCAAGGGAGGGGTGTGGAAAAAGAAAATATTTGAACTGGTTTGTTTTTCCTGACTAGTTCACATCATGGCATGCTGTTCTTTGTGGTAGCAATTGGCTTTAGCTATGATAAGACTCAGGTTTTAAGAAGTCCCTAATTATTACATTCCTTCCTCAACCAACACATTCAGGAACAGGCTGTAACATTTAGTCTTTGGCAAAAACATTTGAAGGCATCCAGAAAGCCCTGCTCGAAGATTTGGCGGGGTCTGGCTGAGGCCCTGAGGATCTTGGGTTGTGCATTTTGAAACGATTCAGCCATATTTATCATCTGCTCAAACCGTTCAGATGCTGATTCTTCAGATCAACATTGGAACATCTCTAAAAATAGAACTTACAGTTAGCCGGAGGA